TACCTTACTTGTTTTCTTTAGAACCAGTTCATAGATCAGACTCTGCCTTACCTTATGATATGACCAAAGGATGTTACTTGCTCAGGTTTTGGCAGCCACATAGGAACAAACTGATAAGAGATTTCATTATCTTCATCCACAGAACAGGAGTAAAAGTAAAGGTCTATGCTAATGCCCAGCAGATGCTCAGCCTATAGTCTCTTAATATGCAACAGCTCTTCTGCAATAAAAGTAACCTTATCCCTACACCGTCTCTCTCTTATTGTTGTTAGGAAAGTGACTCTACTGTTGCCTGGTTACCTCTTTACTCTTTTTAATTGCCTATTGGTAATATTAGTCTCATAAGATAAAACAACCAGTGGAAAATCAAGATTTTCAGTAAGCTACATTGTCATTAGTTTTCTAATTGTCATCGGTAATTAAAAATCTAGGTACTTGGATTTTTGCTTGATATCTTAACCTTGGTTAAGTAACTGAACATACTGATATGTTAGTGTCTTCATTAAATGAGGAAATTGAGTTTGGTAAGTGACTGAAATATTTTGAAAGAGGCAACATTCAGGCTGTATGAGAAATGAAAGTGAAATTTTTAAAAATATAAATCAGAGCTAGAGTGGTTCAGTTCGCCCCTCTTTTAGCACCCTCCCACCTTCCTATGTTTCTTTGAGATAGCTGACAGATTCCAAGTGTTGCAAGGACTGCAATTTTAAATCACTAGACAAAAGAATCTAACATTTATTCTGCCTCTATGATTTTATGAAAAGGGGGGATATGCTAGAAAACTGTGGAAAAATATATCATGTAATGAATGAAAGATTCAGGCAAAAGATGCAAAGTTGGTAAAATGCCTTATAATGTTGACTTATCTTTTCCCTAATAGTGTAGTCTCAAAGGAAAGAAGTAGACTCAAGGTGAGATTCAGGTACACCTTTGTCTTTTTATTTATTTAAATTTTTGAAAGAATTTATTTTTATTTGCTTAATACATACAAGAAATAGAGTATAGGGCAAAGTTGCGCTGGTGAGAGGATTCACCAGAGACAGAGTGAGGAGCAGAACAGGCAGATCGACTGAAATACACTGCTGAGGGGGAGCAGGGGGTAACACAGGAGAGGTCTGCTGTGCCATGTGGGTCACCTCCCTGTCGGGGGATTGAACTCAGGCAGCAGTTGCTGGTGATAGCTTCATAGTCCTGAGTCTTTAACCCTTGTGCCACTAGATAGACCCTACACCTTTTTCTTCTTAGCTCATTTTTAAATCCTGTAATCTAAATAAGTCCATATCTGTTTGGAAATTTGTCATTGTTAAAAGTTGTGAAGAATGATTAATAGCACAAACTACAATTGGGATAGAGTCTGGTGATTCATCCTTGGTAAGACCCAGATACTGGAAAGAGCCTGCAAAGGCACCTGCCAAGATCCAGTCTGCCAGGGATTACATGGTTGCTACCTCACATAATTTCTGTGTGATGTATAAACTGAATTTGTCTTGATTTTTGGAGAAGTGAGGAGAAAGCCTTCTTCATATAGGGTTACAACAGTAGATTTTGAAAAAAATCACAAATCAAAGTACTTCTAAAGAATAAGCTGAGGTTGGTAAACAAATACAACTTACACAATTTATCTTGTTATAGAAGTAATGCATATAAAACACACAGTGCTGGAATATATTTAAAGTCCAAAGAAGGAAAACAAGTTGAAAATGTTACTTGGAGATTAGAAATTTTAATATTCTCTATCTAATATGTTCAGCTTTTGTTGAACATATATATTATTCACATGAATTTATTATGAAACCACTCAAAAATTACCACTACCAATATATAAAAGTGCCTTTGTGAGCAAACCCTCACAAATATTAAATATTGGACATTTTAGCTCTTATAATATTCTAAATGAATAATAGTTTTGCTCTTATCTATTTATATAAATATTATTTGTAATTTTTAAAATATTTTGCTTTTAGAATAGAACAACATTCCTTTAGACTTTGTAGTGAATTAAAGTTATCTCTTAAAACAGTATGGTTAAGTACATGCAGCAATAGTCATACTTATTAACCTCTATATACTATTTTAAATGTTTAGGATTCATTTATAATATAGCTAGTGACTAATGAACACATTGCAGCATTCTGCTTTTACCCATTAAATTCATGATGTTATTTGTATTCAACACTAATTCTCTCAAATACAAATCCTTACTATAGAATTATATGTATATCTATATGACTATGTGTATTTAATGAAGTATAATTTTCCCCCATTACTTTCACATCCATGCATAGAAGCCACTATTATATGTTTATGTATACATTCTTCTTTAATTTTCCCAACTTACATAATACAGATAAATGGACACAATAGGAAGGATGACAGCTGGGGGGGGGTGATAATATAACAGTTTTGAAACTTCATTTTCACTTATTAATATTAAAATATGTTTTCATATAAATATATGTAGGTTCACCTCATTCATTTTACTGCCTTCATGTGATGATAACTTATTGTCATGCAATTTTTTGTTTTTAGTTTTTCACTACTGTATACAATTATTGTGTACAATAAATATTGTGCAGTACAATAAATATTGTGCAGCTATCTTTTATCTTCATGCTTATATGTCAGTAAAACAGATTCTTATAAGTGGAACTGTTGGTTTAAAATGACTGTCAGTTCTTAGGTTTTTAATTTACTTTGCAAATACCCTCTGAAAGAGATTTGCCAGTTGAAAGTCCTGTCAACAGTATGACAGCATGGATTTCTCTGAACATTATCAACCCTGGTTGCTAATAAGTGATTTTGGAAATGTTAGCAATCTGGTAGAATTCTGTTTTAATTTGTATTAGTTAATTGGTAGTAATAATACTCATTTTAATGACAATATCTTTATTTATGTTAATAAATGCCACACTCCATAATTATCTTAATTTCCTCTTTAATTGTGGATCTTTTTAATTGAAGTAGGTAGGTGTACAACAGAGGTTTAGATCACACCCTTCAAATTATATTTTATAATTAATATTAAATTTTACTGAATTTTAATCAGAGATTGTGCTCCAATATACACTTGCTTGGCTCCCATAAATGTGAAATTTCTGGTAGGCTGGTGATGTGCATTGACTCTACTACCATTTGGGGTAGTTGCTGAGACTGAAGTTGCTGTGGACAGAGTTGGTCCAAATAAGCAAATATCAACAAAATGCCCACTTTTGTGGACTTGTTTCTTGGGTGCTTCAAAGCCCTTATTTTCTGCTTGTGGTCTTTATACATCTTAATGTGCAGCTGAACAGTACACACACCACACATACACATTCATTCAAGCACATATTACTTTCTTTGAGCTAACAGCAAGCTGACATTCTTTCCCCATCTCCTAAAGTTTCTTGCCGTAGATGCAGAGATTTTGCCGCCTTATGTTTCATAAAGTTTTGTATTTATTTCCCCACATGGCACATCTATATTTGTCTTTAAGCCTCCCACAAATGTTCTTTTTTAGAAAGTCTATTTCATTTAAAATCTAATGCTTAATGCTGTATCGTATTACATATTATGTATCCTGTATCATGTTATGTTGCCCATCTTATATCTATATTACAACGATAGGAAAACTCAGGTTGTAGATTTGCTTAAAAAACATATTATCCAAGTTCAATAATTTAGGAAATAATCTTTTTTCAGAAGAGATAGGACTTAACATCATCCACTAAATTACTTCATTTTTCAGGGACAAAAATTAAGGGAAAGTGAACTAACTCCCCAAGGCCAAACAGTTAGTCATGGTTCACTTTTATTCTTAACTGATTCATTAATATGACTCATTGGTTCTTTGAAAATCGCACGCAAAAAATCCCACATTATCTCATATGAACAATTTTTATGCTAATCAAGACAAAACAATCACTGGTTATGTTTTAGCAGTGATGGTGTATGACTTGTTCTGGCTTAGAGATCATTGTTTATAGAATCAGTGAGTATTGCAAGCAACATTAACAAGTCTCACCTCTTTCACTTATAAGATTCATGACACTGTTTTATATGTGGAATATAGAGAGACCAAACAAGAAACCATGGAGAAGGATCATAGATGTTATGGTGCTGGGAGAACTACAGAAACTAAATCTGAGAAGAGAAATTAGATATTGCCCAAAATTAACAGTTACCTAAGAAAATAAATAAATGTATGCAGTAATTGAACAAATGAACTAAAAAAAAAAAGTAAGTAAAGTTTTGGACTATACAAGAAAGGAAGAGACAAAGGGCAGGGGTAAATTAGGGAATAGGGGACAATGGTTTAGAAAGATTGGTTTGGGCTTTTAGGTTCCACCTTAGTATAGTTTGCATACATGTGAATTCTCCATGGTGGAGTCCTAAAACTTACATACTGTTATAATGCAATTTTATGTCAATTAAAAATAGAAAAAAATATAAAAAAATATATAAAAGGAATTAATGGTTTTAAATGGAGGTGTCCCTTTGTCTTTGAAGTGAGTTAAGTAAATCTTACTAGAACAGACTTTTCTTGACTTGGTGGAAAGACAAGGTATTTTAGACTGAGCTAAATTCCACAGGCAAGGAAGTAGAGGTCACATTTAGGGAATTCGGGTGTTTTAGCATGGTTACAAAGAGGAACAGGAGCGCAAAAGCAAAAATATGTTTTTTTTTAGACTTAAGAGGCAGAATACTAAAAAACTTTTTTTATTCACACATGGAAAATGTAATTGGAAAATCTAACCATCCACAGTTCTTTCAAAGATGACAGTTAAATCAGCTTGCCTAACAGTAAACAGAACCTACTTGCTTGCTTAGTTTCTAATGCAATTTACAGGAAGTTGTGTCTTCCTACACACTTCTTTATAACTGATTTGACCTACACTAAACAGTAGTTTTACAGCAGCTATAGTCAACATGAAAAGCTCTTTTTTCATGGTAATTTTCTACTGTCTTTCTGGTCTACTGAGTTTGTGTGCATTTTTTTCGTGTTCTTTTGTTCACTCTTACAGGCTTGCAAAAGTTGTGCTCATCTCCTTGTGGGCTTGAGAAGAGTGTGTGGGCTTCCAAAGACAAATACAATGAAGGTGAGTTCAAAGTTGGTGCTCCAACCTACTTTGTTTTTCAGTAAATGGGGTAACAACTTCAGAGTCTGTGTGGGGTGTGAAAATGTAACACGAATCTGCAGTAATATACTCATATTATTAGTTATTATGTCTGACTTGAGCTCATCATGTACTTTGCCAAGCATATTCACATATAAATAATTTATTTAGTTTTCTCTTAAGCTTCTGGTAAAATGGAATTTTCTTACAATAGTCTTACCTACAAGGACTTAGCTACAAAACTGCTCTACCACTTGTTATTTTAAGGATTGTAGTTAAATGATAAAATATTAACGTGGTCATTTTAATTAAATTAATCTGCAGGGCACGTGCAGACCATTTGGTATAAAATTACATGGAAGTTTTGTTTTTATTTTTTAATAAGGTTTTGTTGATTTGCATACACACACATCAAGAGTATCATTTCACCCACTACCATCTTGTATGAGCCTCACCTCAGTAGATTTTGTTTTTCAGTCACTCTCATCAAATTCCTGATAGTCTCCAGAATACTTCACACATTCTTACTTCTCACATATGATTAGTTAACTCGACCTGTGACTATCACAAACTATTCATAATCCTGCTGATACTTGTCATTTATACTGTTACTACCCTTGTCTAAATGAAGCCCCCCTCACTCTGCTCAAATACTTCCAAAGACTTCTTATATCAAACAGATCTTATTTAAAATGACCAGCGACTCTCCTCTGCTCTTATCTTCAATTAATCTTTCCATTGGCCACACATCCTCTTTGTAGATCCTGGGCTGTTGAATTTTTGTGGCTTTTACTAGAACAGTTTTCTTTCTGACATATACATAATTTCCTGCCTCACCTGCTTCAGCATTTTGTTCACATATCATTATTTCAGTGAGATCTTCCCTGGTCATCATATTAAATGTATTACTTTCCCCCATCCAGACTTAATTTTATTCCAGAAATTATTTTATGTACTGTATCTTTTGTTATTTTCCTATTGCCTATCTTATTCCGTTATATTTAAACTCTGTGGAAGAAGAAAAATTTACTTTCTTTTTTTGTTTTGATCACTATCCTAAGTGTTTAGAACAGTGCTGGTAAACAGTAGACTCTAAAAAATACTGTTAGTAGGCCCTCCCTGGTGGCGCAATGGGTTAGGACGCAGCACTGCAAGCTGGCAACAGCTGCTTCAGTGTGAGTTTGATCCCTGACCCTGGAGGTGATTCACATAGTGCAGCAGACCTCTCCTGACTCACCCGCTGCTCCCCTCAGCAGTGTACTGTGTCGATCTGCCTGTTCTGCCCCCTATTCTGTCTCTGATGAAGCGTCTCACTGCTCCTGCACTTCTGGCTTGTACTCTAGTTCTGTATGAGTAAAATAAATAAATCTTTAAAAATATATATATTGTAAATGCCCAAAAGTAGATGACTGGATTAGAAAGATGTGGTACATATATACAATGGAATATTACTCAGCAACCAAAAAAGAGAAACACATGTCTTTTGCAGCAACTTGGATGGAGCTGGAAAAGATCATGCTTAGTGAGATAAGCCAGAAAGAGAAAGAAAAATACCGGATGGTGTCACTCATAGCAGGAGTATAATGGACCAGGCGAGAAAATAACAAAAATAATGAACAACCATATACCAGAGACATTTTGTGGGGGTGGAGTGGGGAATGGGGTGAAAAAAGGGGGGGGAGGGGAAGGGAGGGAAATGCACGGGACTATGGTGGTGGCACAGGGGTGATTTGGTGATGGGAAACCCCAGGAATTACAATCGAGATGGAAAAAAAAAATGTGCAAAATGATGCAAAAATAAACTTTGTAATAAAATAAATAAATAAATTCTAAAGCTTGCCAAATATATATATATATATATAGTTAATAAAATGAATTCTAAAATAACATGCCTTTAAGTGTAGAATTGAAAGATATTTATGCTCCTGGGTGTCAAATCGTAACACCAATCTGAGCTCCTAAAACAGTAGTCTATACTTTTGTTATACATGTTCCTCTGAAGATCATGATTAGCCAAGCCCACGACTACTATATGCACATCGCTGGTGTGAGGCAGAACTCTAATTGCCTCCCACACTAAGGACTGATTGTACTTCTTGTCTTAATTAAAGTCAAATTAGAAACTCTGGGAGATTCACATCATTCTTCTCTACATTAGACCAGACACCCTCCTTTATTTATTTAATCTTACCTCTTCTTTTAGTATACTTATCCACCTGAGAATGGTAGATGATTAACTATCAAAGTAATATACTTTCTTCTATTTTTAGTATGTATATTTCCTTCTAAATTCTTGTGTAATTAAATCATTGTTATAAGCAAGAAGCTTTCATTTTTATTTACCTTTTTGTTCCCAAATAATAACCTAGAAAATTTCAGCCTTAGCACCATCAAGTTATTTTGTGGATAAAAGGTGAAAGGTAGGCCCTCCCTGGTGGTGCAATGGGTTAGAGCACAGCACTGAAAACTAGTTGCAGCCACTTCAGTGTGAGTTCGATCCCAGGCCCCGGAGTTGATCCACATGGCGTGGCAGACCTCTCCTGACCCACCCGCTGCCCCCCTCAGCAGTGTACTTCGTCAGTCTACCTGTTCTGCTCCCCACTCTGTCTCTGGTGAATCCTTTTGCTACCCCTGCTCCTCTGGCCTGTATGCCAGTTCTGAATGCATAAATAAATATTTTTAAAAAAAGGTGAATGGTATCAGATCTGTTTCTAAAAATGCATGCAGTGGAGTGGTCTTGCTTTATTTATTAGGACATGTGATCATTGACTTATATATCTATAAAGATATTGTAATAGATCTACTTCTCAAAAGACACTAAATTAGGTGAAAAAGTAAATGAAGAGAAATTGAAAAAAGAACATTGTTTTCAGAAGTAGATTGAAACAGGATGGGGTATATAATACAAGTGAGACTTTAGCAAGTAACTTAATTGCTTTATGTTTCATATTTGTATTAAGAAAATAAGATAAAGATATATATTTCAAAAACTTATATTTTTTGTGAGCCCTGGAAGAATTATTGGATTATAAAACAATGTATAAAATGCTGTATAAAAGTAAGTCATTTAATTCATAAAAAGGTGTCAGGCTTTTATGTAAAATTAAATAGTATTATAAATAATTTCATACTATGAAAGAAATATATATGAAGTAAAAATTAGAGATGGAGAGAAAAAGAGGCAGGGTTGGGTGGAATCAAGGGTGAATAGGAAAATAATTTTCTCTTGCTATTCATAAATGTGTTACCTATGGCTCAAATATTTGCTCAACTTGGTGTCACCATTGTTTGTCAGGGATTGTCCCTGTTTACTCATGTGTTCCCACCTGGTGTAATTATTAGTGCTAATCACTTTCAGATGCAAAGTATGCCAGTTAACAAAATATCACATCTATATATTTAATATGCATTATATCATTACATATGCACATCATATATACCATAAGTTATGTTGCATATGAAATTCTATATGATATAAATTATGAATAATATTTATACATCAACATTAGTATTTTTACCATAACTGTCATAGCTACTGACAGACCAAAATTGATGCATGCAGAGAGACAAGTTAACAATTGCTAGGTGTCATTTGAGATAAAACCATTACAATATCTAGACTCAAAGTCACCTTTAGCTGACTCTAACAACAGAATTCTTTCTAGCTTGTTTTTACATTAAGCTTCAGAGAACTATTTTCAGTTTACATTAACCATCAGAGACCTATTTTACTAGAATGGAGGCTAAGAGAATAAAATCTATGCAGGAATCTCTTTGGATGTAACACATCACACATTTTAACTGATATTTTCTGAGATCAGGGCTATACAATTTGCTAGTTCTCTTCCTGTTTGGAAACCAAAAACCAAGCATTAAGTTATACATAACAATCATACACTACACGGTATCTTTTTACAGTTATTATATTGAATATCCCTACAAGCAGTATTGTTATCCACTTGCGTTTAGCTAGGTACATAACATACAACTTGGTGATGCATCTGTTAAGAGAAATAGAAAACTATAATAGGATTAGTCATTGGGAAGACATGACTAATCAGCATAAAAGAATCAGAACAATCCATGATTCTGTATAATTAAGTGCTAAATTAGTTAGTATGGGTGAAGTTCTGAAGAGACTGGGTGTGTGGGAAGAGGTGACATATCATTTGGGTCTTGGACAGCATGGATAATGAACAGCAGACAGAGAACATTTCCAAAAGAGAAAACAAAAGAAGTATTTTTGCTAGGTAGATCAAGGAATATATCCTGGTCAAAGTAAGAGAGAAATCTAGTGGGTAAACTGGGTTGAGCCAGATTAGGAGAATTTCCATGATTATTTTTTTTCCATATATATACACACACACGCACACATATATATCCTTACATAAATGTGTAAGTGGTAATACATGAAGTTTTGAATATATATCTTCATTTTGCTTTTTCCCATTTTGAGCTTTCTTCTTTCGTATTTTCTTCCACCCAGCTGTATTAACCCACACAACCATGTTAACAACCTAGTATGTAGCTTTCTATATATATTTTTCTCTGTTCAAAAAATTGGATAGATTTCATGGTAAAAAATTTATAATTTATCATAATGGTAGGTATTAGTTTTGTTTCCACTGTTTTGCTACCAAATACCAGTGTTAAACACCCCAACCTAGGAGTCATTATTATGCTTGTTTTCTTTATATTGGATAGACTTTAAGAGATGAATTGTCATTTAAAGTTAGCTCTAATTCTGCATAATTTCAAAGCAATAAATGAAATAATTCCCAACATCCTTACTGCACCCCCCACCATTAAATATTGCTTTCAATTTCCTTGTATTGTTAATATTCATACATCTGTTTGTCTCTTATTTGGTCCCCTGCCCAATGAAAAAAATTGTCTATTTTCACTTTCCACCTTTCTTTCTTATTTTACCTTCCCTCATTAAACTTCTGTGACAATTTTACTTTTTCACTCCCAATACTTGA